GAATTTGAATCTTGTATTCAAACCAACCCCATTTAACTTGTTGCTAGATGCATTAGCCCAAAACACATTCATTTTGCCATGTCATGATCATGCATCATATTGTGCATTGCATTGATTGTGTTTCCTTCTGTGTTGCCGGTATTTGTCCCCTCTCGATAGACGTGATACCGATGATGTGATCGTTGACACTGATGAAGACTCAATGTTATCTTCAGAAGTGCCAGGCAAGCAAAACCCCCTTGTTCATTCCGATAAAATCCCACTCTCTCGCTCCTGCTCTCTTTTACTGCATTAGGACAACAACGACATATTTGATACTTGCTGCGGTAGCTGAACCCTTTATCCTTTGCATGACCTGACATTGCCACAGTAAATAGATGAAACCCACTAGCATGAGTAGGAGTTGTTTGAGCCCTGATGTGCCTACTCATTCATGCTTGTTTGTCATGCCTGCTACTGCTTAGAGTTGAGTCAGGTCTGATTCATCGGGGATGAATCAGAGGCATGTGAACATGTCCTACTATGGGTGAACTAAGTGTGTGAACACGATTTGGTAAAGGTAGCGGTGAGAGGCCATGTAGGAGTACATGGTGGGTTGTCTCATTGCAGCCGTCCTCAGGAACTGAGTTCTGTGTTTGTGATCCATGAACAGCTACTACCACACATTGGGCTCCGGGCGCTCCAAGCTCTCTCGACTTATTAATCAACATGATCTCTGTCCAGGAGTTGCAACTAGTTTCTGGTGTTTGTAGGTAGTGTTAGTAGTCTACCAAGTGGCACCCGGTACAGGTGGGCTTGGGACAGACTAGGCACAGTGGCACGGTGTACCAAGTGGCACCCGGTTGGTGGGCTTGGGAACCCTGCACACATCGTTTGGGGCCGTAAGCGACACCCCGGCCGGATCTCCTTGCGGATGGAACCCGAATAGGCGATAAACCTGGACTAGAGACTTGTTCGGTTAGTCAGGTCGTGGCCGACTCCCTCGCCCGGCTTCCGCTTGAAGGTTGCCGAGGTACATGACGTGTACATGGCGATAAGTGGCGAAAGCGTGTGTGAAGAAGTACACCCCTGCAGGGTTAACATCATCTATTCGAATAGCCGGATTCCTCGGATATGGAAACTTGGACCCCTTGCATAGTTCATAGACAAGTGAAAGTGGATACTCTAAAATGCGCAAGATAAGCGTGAGTACTATGGATGACGTTCTCGTAGGGAGACGGGAGCGGATCCATAGTGGTGTATTGATATGGTGAATATGTGGACTCGTGTGCGCCACTTTAAAAGAGTTACTTGCAGTCGTAGTTCAGGATAGCCACCGAGTCAAAGCTGGCTTGCTGCAGTCAAACCCCTCCACCCCCTTGTTGATAATGATGCATATGTAGATAGATCTGATGTAAGTCTTGCTGGGTACATTTGTACTCACGTTTGCCTATTTTATGTTTTTGCAGAGAGACTTCAGTCTCACTAGTAGTTCCACGTGGACTTCGACGTTTAGCTTGTTACCTCAGCTACGATCTTGTGCCCTCGGCAGGATCTGGTAGATAGTCAGGCTTCTCAGCCTTTTTCATTTATAGATGTCTGTACTCAGACATGATAGCTTCCGCATGTGCTTTGACTTGTATGCTCTGAATGTTGGGTCGTGAGACCCCTGTTTGTAATATCTCGCTCCTCGGAGCCTATTGAATAATTACTTGAGTCGTAGAGTCATTTTGTGATGCCATGTTGTATTGCACATATCGAGCATATTGTGTGTATGTTATTGAAATGCTTGGTATGTGTGGGATCTGACTATCTAGTTGTTTATCTTTAGTAGCCTCTCTTATCGGGAAATGTCTCCTAGTGTTTCCATTGAGCCTTGGTAGCTTGCTACTGCTCCGGAACACTTAGGCTGGCCGGCATGTGTCCTTCTTCGTTCCTGTGTCTGTCCCTTCGGAGAAATGTCACGCGATGAATACCGGAGTCCTGTTAGCCCGCTACAGCCCGGTTCACCGGAGTCCTGCTAGCCCAGTGCTACAGCCTGGATTCACTCGCTGATGACCGACACGTTCGATGTTGGGTCATGGATGCCTGTCCCTGTAAGTCTGTGCCACTTTGGGTTTACGACTAGCCATGTCAGCCCGGGCTCCTTATCATATGGATGCTAGCGACACCGTCATATACGTGTGCCAAAAGGCGCAAACGGTCCCGGGCTAAGGTAAGGCGACACCCGTGAGAATACCGTGCGTGAGGCCGCAAAATGATATGAGGTGTTACATGCTAGATCGATGTGGCATTGAGTCGGGGTCCTGACAGATGTGCTGAAACTGGATGGACATGGTGTTTTTTTCCTCGACGAACGTGGCAGCTATGGCTTTGCTGTGCTATACATGGTTCAAATGGCAGCTGAAGGCTCTATTAGTTGGTGATGCTCTGAAGCTTCAGTGACGAGTATGCCTTGATGACGGCGTGAGTTTTATCCAGGGAAGCTCCTACTTGTCTCTTTTTAAAATTTTGCAAACTAAGTAATCCTTCTACTATTTTACTATAGAATTGAATATACTAGCAGCATCTGGTGCTTTAATCAATTTGTACATTTTGTTGGATCTTCACTTGGACGCGAACAATTTGAATGACCCACACATGCATGTAAACAGTAAGCCTTGCGTAAATTGTGTAGTCTGAATTTGAATCAGAGCTGAACGTTAACTTTGACTCTTTGAGACTCCATGTGTGATCTCTGAAACTTATTATACCCAATTCAAGTGTGAAGCTATATTAATTATTCAAAACATCTGTGAGGGGCCAAGTTTACTGGAATCAGAGCTGAAAGTACAGAGACAAGTGTGATTTTTTAAACTTGCATCTGAAGATTGCCTAGCTTCATGAGAGTAGAACAGATCAACAGAGTGGTATTACAGGAAGCCAGTTTTGGGCTATCTCTTGTGAGAATCTATGAGATTAATAACATTGGCTGCCCACACACTCATGAGCCCTAAAGTCGTGGACCCTAGGAATATGGAAAACCTGAATCTGAATGTGGCTTGTACGTAGCATCAAAGAAAACAGCTAGCTGATGCTTAATATCGCAATGACACCTGATTGTGTTCTTCGTATATTTCCTCGCAAAAGATAATTGGTTGCTTGCTTCCTTTGTTCTTGTCCTGGCATTGTGGCACCACCTGCATTCTCTGTGTACATTAATATCACAACATGTTAATATCTGGCTGCTAAATGATTCGCTTAGATCTGGGTTTCGTGACGATCGATCAGTTAGGGAAAAGAATAAACACCTGAAAGTGCTTGAGTTTGAACTTCTAAAAAACGGTAATCAGAGACTCAACATGACAGGGTGGCCATGAAGTATAAAGTATGTAGGTATAAACCATGTTTCAAATACGGTTTTGATGCTTGCATTGCTAGCACTTGTTGGCGAGATCAACGCCGATTCCCTGTCGGGTACGACATTTGATTAGGGGATATCCTTTTTGAATGTCCTTGAAATCACAACGAGAAAGAAACGAAAAAATACATACATTTTTAGGAGAAACAAAAACATCTAAGGTTCTTCTTTAGAAACGCAAGATCATCAAGTTTTTTCTAATCTCTCCCTAATAATAAAGCACGGATTGAGTCTGTCGGGTTCACCGTCACGCCTTTTTTTAAAATATTCCCTAATATCATCTAAGGCTCTTTTTAGAAACGTGAAATCATCTTGATTTTTTTCAAGGTCTCATAAGCATAGTTTAAAAAACCGAAGCAGCAACCGAATGGGCCATGCTGTCGGTTCAGGTTTTCATTGGTCGGACCGCCGGTTCATCGGTCCATTTGCGAGAAAAAACCGGAATATTTAAGGTGATTTATCAAAAAAAAAACCTCACATTAAATTAATACACACAATATTGGATGTAAACCATTAATAAATCACAAAGTGTCATTAGCTCAGCCCAGCCCAGCCCAGCCCATGGGTCAGTTGGTCATCCTCAAGGTTGGAGCAGACACCGCACCAACGCAAACCCTCACCACTCTCTCCTCCGTCTCGCACCATCCCCTCGCCGCCGGCGCCGCCATGCTCCGGCTCCGTCGCGGCGTCCTCGCCCAGCTCCTCTCTTCTCCCTCCGTCTCTTCTCTACACCGCCTCCTCTCCGCCGCCACGCCCGCTGCCCCCTGCATTTCCCCAAACTCTGCCTTCGCCGTCGACGACTACCTCGTCTCCACCTGCGGCCCCACACGACCCCAGGCCCTCAAGGCCTCCGCCAAGCTCTCCCACCTAAAGTCCCCTTCCAACCCCGACGCCGTGCTCGCCTTCCTCGCCGGCCTCGGCCTCTCCGCCGCCGACGTCGCCTCCGTCGTCGCCAAAGACCCGCCGTTCCTCTGCGCCAAAGTGGAGAGAACCCTGGCCCCCAATGTCGCTGGGCTCACCGGCCTCGGTCTCTCGCCTTCTGAGATCGCACGCCTCGTCTTGCTTGGCCCCGACAGATTCCGCTGCAGATCCATCGTCTCCAAGCTGCACTACTGCTTGCCCCTCTTCGGACGGAATAATTGATGATAACCCCCCCAGTTCGTGTGCCTTTGATCATAAGCCCCCCTTTGTGTCACTGACATGTGGGACCGGACCCCACACGTCAGTGACACAAAGGGGGGCTTATGATCAAAGGCACATGAACTGGGGGGGTTATCATCAATTATTCCACGACAACCTCCTTCGAGCCCTACCTCGAGCGGGTGGCTCCATTCTCAGGTCCAACCTCGAGCGGGTGGTCAAGCCCAATGTCGCCTTCCTGCGCGAGTGCGGGCTAGGTGCTTGTGATATTGCCAGGCTCTGCATTCCCACGCCATCGCTGCTCAGCATCAGCACGGAACGCATCCGGACAGCAGTGGCGCGTGTCGAAGGTCTTCTTGGTGTACCCCGTGGATCTCCGATGTTCAGACATGCACTACAAGCTGTTGCATTCCTCAACGAGGAGAAAATCACCGCCAAAGTGGAGCACTTGAAGAAAGCGTTCAGGTGGTCGGATGTCGAGGTGGGCATTGCCGTTTCTAAGGCTCCAACCTTGATGACAAGGACTAAGGAATCGCTGCAGCGCAGGTCTGAGTTCCTCATCTCTGAGGTGGGCCTAGAGCCAACATACATAGCACATCGGCCGGTAATGCTCACTTATAGCCTGGAGGGCCGGCTGAGGCCCCGGTACTATGCTGTAAAGTTTCTCAAGGAAAATGGATTGCTCAAGCGCGGCCCGAGCTACTTTACTGTTTTTAACGAGACCGACAATGTATTCAGGGAGAAGTACATATGCCCTCACAAGGAAGCTGCACCACACCTCCAAAAGGACTATGATGCCGCTTGCAAAGGGGAAGTGCCAACTAATTTCAGATTCACATGAGCCAAGAATGGGCATGTGATGTAACTGTGTGCTGGTTGCCCGCTGTTGTATGACTGTTAGATGCTGGGTTTGGTCGTTGCTAACGTGTGATGGAATTGATAGTTTGATCCCTGAATACTGATATGTAATGCAGCAGAGAAGAAAGCATTGATTGGTTATGAACTTTTTTTGTCCTCATTCATGTTTTTAAACACACATATTTGAAACTAAGTGTGAGATCAGGCCATGGAGGAGGGCTCACTTGTACAGGTTATCTGCTAAACATCGAACTCTCACATGGAGGAGGGTTGGCTTCATTTAAGTTTAAGTAAGTAAACCTACGCGACTCTGTTCCTTTTTATGCCAGTACCAATGGAGAAGCACTTTCTGCTAGTAATGTTCTTGAGACAAAGAAGCACTTATTTTTTATTGTGTGTATTGTGGATTTTCATGCTCTGCACCATGGTCATAAATCATGTGTTTATTGTGGATGGCAGCTTAAGATTTTTAGTTCATTATTGTGTTTTGGTCCTGTGGGTAGTTCTTGGTGCCAAGCACCACCAGCAGGTTCACTAGCATTTTTTTGTCTTCTATAACTGAGCTACCTCTTCTTTAGTTTGTCTAAAACTGAGTGCTTAATTTATTGCTCTGGTCGGTGTGATTGCGAATATAGGCACCAAACTATTGGTATCATGTACATCCATTACTCTGAATACACGGTCTGCATATCTGCATAGACTGCTGGTTCTTAAATACTCCCCCCTAGTATTCTTGTTTATTCGAAATGCTGCACATAATCTGCTAACTTTTGGGGGCACATTTCTTCCAACTGACCACATGATCTGTACTTGAATTAGTTTCTACCATCTTGGGTGTGTTCATCTAGAGAAAGATATCATCGAAGTTCATTGGCGAATAGTAAAATTTGGTATCTGTGTCTGTTTGATTTTCGCAAGGGAAAAGTAAGGATTTGAGCCATGTTTGATCTAAAAACACAAAGAACTCCTGTACTTTCTTTAACCTCCAAAGTAACTGCCAAAGCGTGCTAGAATTAGAACCATGTTTGATCTAAAAACACAAAGAACTCCTGTACTTTCTTTAACCTCCAAAGTAACTGCCAAAGCGTGCTAGAATTAGAACCATGTTTGATCTAAAAACACAAAGAACTCCTGTACTTTCTTTAACCTCCAAAGTAACTGCCAAAGCGTGCTAGAATTAGTTTAACTTCTACTACCTCTGTAACTAAATATGAGACGTTTTTGCAGTTCAAATTGAACTGCAAAAGCGTCTTACATTTAGTTACAGAGGTAGTAATTGTCAAGCAGATAAGTTGTACTTGTCATGGTCTGCCTTTTCTGAAACAAATTAAGATTTCAAGCTGGCCATACTTAAAGCTATCGTACATAATTATTAGCTACGTGTCATCTTGCCGTGTTGTTAATGCTCTGTTTATTTTACTTGTCAATGCAGGGTTATGGAAAGGCTCTCCAGGGTAAGAATTGGTTTTGTTGGCGGACCTTAAAGATGCACCATTGTTCAACTACCAACTATTTGTTGTTTTCAGGAAGACACAACCCTGTTGAAGTCTTACAGTGATTTTTCCTACTAGGTTTCATTAAGATTTTGTCGCTTTGTTGGCAATGATAAAGAATATTTTGTCACAGTCCATGCCGTAAATCTATATGATGCATCATACACTGGAGTGTTTATATGTTTCTTCAGGTTTTTCTGAACTACGATGATATTGAATCTCAACTATACATTGACCTTGACTTGTTCTGCCCAGCGAATATCATAAAACCACCCCCCTTATAAGTAGTGATTGTTCTGAATGCTAGCAGATGCCTCTTTTACTGTTTTCATATATCTTATAGTTCCCGTGTGGGTATTTAGTTCTGTAACTAAAATGCAAGTTGACATTTTGCAATGGCCAAGCAAACCATAAAGTTTGTTAATCTACCTCTTTTGTCAGCTGTTAAGTTTATTAGTCCACCTCTTTTTTCTGATGTTGTCAACTCTCTTCATGATGCAACAATGGTTTAGCCTGGTGCTGCGGAAGTGTCGCGGCTCGGCGGAGGGAGCCAGGTACCTTGCCAATCTTTCCCTGTTATGACTTATGGGTCTGGGAGAATATGCTAGTTAATATATTTATTTTTTATATTGGGGGATGTGCAATTCACATGTCCTGCTCCTGCATGATCTTAAGACCCCTTTACGCAGCCTTGGCTAGAGTATCTGCAATCGTATTTTGTTCCCTTGGAACAGAAGCCTGAAGCTTATGAAAAAGTTTTTTGGTAACTGGTTGCAGAGTCCAGTGAGGAGCACTAGTGTTGACAGCTTGTGCATGTACATACAGGGGAGGGAGGAATTGGATGTACATGAGCAATAATAGGAGTTGGCCCCTGAAGAAAACATCGACGTGCTACACCTACACATTTAACAGAAGAGTAGAGAGAGGGAGCTATGTATTTAGTAGTAGTAGTAGTGTTGAGTTTCTGATCCAAGCCATTGTCTGTGTAGCCAGTCAGTAGCATTTTTTGTAAGAGAGATTTTTACCTGCAAATACGATTTACGTATGTGGTACAAGGGAGGTACAGGATATATTCATTATTTGTCTGAGAGCAATTCCTCTTCGCTGAAGAAAAAAAAAACCGGCCTAGTGATTAGTCCCTGAACTAACTTTACGCTACTTAAACATGAAATATATTGACTGACTGATTTACTGAATATTGTAGATCGATGGTCCATGAGAAGATGTGCTGAGATGGTATGATGCGGTGCTTTCTCCTTCTTCCAGGAGATGGAGATGGAGATGGACGGAGCATGGCGGCTCGGGCTCTGCATGCTTCTGAAGGCCCAACACGCTGCTCGGGCTCTGCATGCTTCTGAAGGCCCAACACACTGCATCTGGTTTGCTTTAATCGGTTCGACATCGATGAGTTCCGTGCTTCCTCCTCAACACACGCTTTTGATCTAGCTTGGATGTAGACAATTTGAACTCTGAATTTTCATGCATGCAATGTATTTAAACAATCAAGTATTGGATGTGGTATTAAATTTTCGATGTGAATCACAGCTGAAAGTTGTTACCTCTGAATCTTTCAGACTTGATGTTTGAGCGAGGCCGAGGGAAGCGCTCTGTGAGCATGTCGCGTGATGGCTTCGAACACGCATGTTCCAGCCTCCTGCAACCTGGCGCATCAGCTCCCGCCTAGAACAGTACACGCTGCTGCCTAGAGGGCCTTCGTTGCATAAGCTCTCTAATTTTTTGTTCAGAGTATTCCTTGTTTACATCCTTCATTGTAGTTATATTATCTGGGCTATACCTCCACATGTGTGCTTTCTGTGATGGCTTACATACTCTAGAGATTATCATGAAATTTATAACTTGTTAGTGTTTCCCCGCTCTGCTTTGTCGTATATATTCTGCATTGCTACTCCAGATAGAATCCACAGTAGTTAGTTAATTTTGCTTGAAAACTTCTGTCTGATGGGCATGCTGGTCCCATGGCAAAACCAGCCAACCATGTACAACCTTGGTAGTCAAAGCAAAGTGATGGTTGTATATACTTAGTAATTAGATGCTGTGCGTGCCCTCTGCTAATTAAATAATCTTTCCTGGGCTCGATGATTAAATGATTGCCTTCTCGGCCCTTAAAAACATCATTGGACAAATTACTGTTCTGTATGAACTGCTCCTCTTGTTTTCCTTGATCTAATTTCCTAGGTGTGAAAAATCTCTCTACCAGTATGTGTTTTCGTTCAAGAAGATGCACTGTTGCATGATTCAGGGCATAAACACTAGATACATTGTTTTTTCCAGGTATTCAAACTTACTGCGGATCATGTGAGCTGCTGGATCCGTTTATTATTCACCTGAACCCTATTGCCCTGCGACGAGCGAGCAAAAGTTGCGAGTGTAGTACATATCGATTCTGAGCCGACAAGTTTATATGTAGGCCTGAAGCTTATGAGAAAGTTAGTTGATCGGCAGCATGGTAACTGCTTGCAGAGTCCAATGAGGAGCTAGGGTGTTTTGTGCTAGCTAATGATGCATGTTGACAGCTTCTGCATATGCATACAGGGGAGGGAGGAATTGCCTGGTCATCAGCAATAGAGAGAGGCGTGTACAAATTTGGCCCGTTAAGAAAACGTTGACATGCTCCACATTTAAAGAAAGTGTTTGAGTTTCTGATCCAAGCTTTTATCGTGCGCCTAAGATTCAGTCTGTTTAGCCATACACACTAGCATTTATTTGTGTTTCTATTACTTGTAAAGTTGTGACCATCCTTTTGAGTTTGCAAGATATGTTCAACATCTGTGATCATTCTGGGAGCTGTTTTTGCTTGCAAATACGATTTCCATACGTGGTAGATAGGAGGTACAAGACATTTGTCTGAGAGCAATTCCTGTTTTCTGGAGGCGAAAAAAGACATGGCTTAGTGATTGATCCCTGAACTAAGTTTTACATACACTACTTAAACAAGAAATACATTGATTGACTGATTTGATGAATGTTGTAGATGGATGGTCCGGGAGAAAATGTGTTGTGACTCGATGGTGCGGTGATTTCGTATTTCTTGTTCCAGGAGATGGACCGAGTGTGGCGGTTGGGGCCTTGCATGATTCTGAAGGATCTGTTAATTGGCGAGCTTCAGCAACAAACGTGATATGCCAGCGGCTGATTTTACTCGGAGAAGACCGTTTTGAATTTTGCAAGGTACGTGTTATATCCTACATATTGCAATGTAATATGTAGCTGCATCCGGTGGATTGATGGGCTCAAGACATGCTGGATCTTATTTCACTAGCTTCAATGTAAACAATTTGAACTCTTAACTGCCATGCATTCCATGTATGTAAACAATCAATTGGATGTGGTGTTAAATTTTCTACTCTGAGCTCTGGATTTGAACATGCTGGCAGTCATTTTTTTTTTGAAACGAGGCAAAAGACTTGTCATTTTTATTGATTAAGTAGAAGAGAATTGTCCGGTTAATTGACGGAAAATCGGGCTAAAA